AAGCAACCTACAACTACTTGATTCTGTCCACCACCAAGGCCTAAGACTTTGTCTTGGGTCCTTTAGAACCTCTCCTATTGATAGTCTATCTGTTGAAGCAGATGAGCCTTCTCTTACACAACGCCATATAAAATTAACTTTACAGTATATTACAGAACTTTATTCCAATGAGTCAAACCCTGCATATAACTGTGTCTTTAATCCACTATATGAAGATCTGTATAACAAGAAGCCTTCTCTTGTTCCGCCTCTTGGTATAAGATTGAAACCTTTCCTTTCTGCTGCTGGCATTGAGCTAGAACATATAGCTCCTTCCCGTTTTCTTTCTTCTCTGCCTTGGCAATTGGTTAGGCCTGAAGTTGACCTAACATTAACTACATTTAAAAAATCAGAAACAAATGAATTACCGTATAAACAAGAATTTAGTCAATTAAGAAATCAATATAAAACATATAAATCCTTATTTACAGATGGGTCCAAGGATGGTGGCGCGGTGGTATGTGCCACTGTCATTGGATCCAAAACAATATCTTCTCGACTACCAAAAAACAGCTCTATTTTCACAGCAGAAGCAAACGCCATCTTAACAGCTCTTAAATATATTAATAAACATCGTAAATATAAACAATATATCATCTTTTCAGATTCTCTTTCGTGTCTTCAGGCTATTACAAATCTTTCTTACATCCACTTTTATTAGAAATTATTGAATTGTACAATGAACTTGCTACTGGCCAATGCGACATCGTCTTTTGTTGGTTACCCAGCCACGTTGGCATTTCTGGGAATACAATGGCCGATCTTGCTGCTAAGGCAGCACTCGACAAATCTGTGACACCACTTCTAATTCCATACTCTGATTACAAAGCCAGCATTAGAACATACATCCGCGATCTAATGCAGAAGAAGTGGGACACCCAAGTAGGTATTAATAAATTACATGGAATAAAACCCTACATTGGTTACACCTACTTGGGTTGTCAGTCCAGATTTGAAGAGGTCATTATGCGGCGATGTCGCATTGGCCATACTAGATATACCCATGAATATTTGCTTAAAGGCGAAGATCCTCCGTTTTGCATCCCTTGTGATGAAAGAATCACAGTCAAGCATGTCTTGCTTGACTGCATTGAATATTCCATCACAAGGGATATCTATTTCAAATCCAAAACTCTGAAGGATCTTTTTAATAATGTCAGTTCTCATTTAATTATTGCATTTTTTTAAAAAAATAGATTTGTTGAGTGATTTGTAAATAGATATATATTTTATTATTGGTAGTTTAGATTAGCAACTGAGATTGTTAGTGGCTGTATCCTCAAAGGGGGTTGAAGTATTGTAAAATTATTGTCCTCCTGAGAGGGTACGTAAGTCCCAAAACATTTAGTCAATCTAAGTGTACCTGCTTTTTAATCGTAGAATAAGTGTGTTTTTAATTTATGGCTCGATTTCTCTTCTGTCGCCAATGGCTGAAGGGTTGGTGTAAATCCAACTAGGGTCCATGCAGGTAGCAAAAGTAATGTAAGTCCCCATGGTTCCTAGTATGGTGATCTACCTTCAGTTGTTGGCGATCTATAGCCCGTTTTATATTGTATTGTCTTCGTAAATAAAATAGTTTTACATGTTCATGCTAGTTTTAGACTCCATCTGTGATGCTCTAGTTATTTTACAGTCCTTCGCTGACAGGGTTTTATACATTATATGTATGTATTATAAATTTAGAACTAGTTTTAGTCACGATATGGCTGAAATATTGCCGATGTGACTTTAAATCTTAACTCACTCACTCACTTTTGCGTACAAACGCTGTATTATGTATTGGTACAAACTGTTAAATATGCCTTCTATACGTTTCCCTAAGAAATGTTACAATTCTACTGTTAGATGCTTCAAATGGTAAAATTAACTGGACATCAAAATTAAAAAATCTATTGTATACAATGGGTTTTGGATACGTATTGGAAAATCAATTTATTCCTAATATAAATCTTTTTATTTCTGAATTCATATCCAGAGCCCAAAACACATATTTACAGGAATGGCATTCCTCTTTGTCTAGTGGCTCAAAAACTTACCTATATTCTCAATTTAAATTTATTTTGGTGTTGAGCCATATCTCCATTGCATAACTATCAAGAAATTTCGTATTGCCTTAGCGAGGTTCAGGTGTAGTTCACACCAACTGAATATAATTAATTTTTTATTGTGTTCGTTAAAATTCTGGCAATCTGATTGGTTAACTGGGAACATTTCTTTTGATTTCATTTCCCAATGAATCTAAAAAAATAAGCCACGCCCACCGAACCGGACTACTTTCGGACCTGAGGAATGTCGGGGAATACCTTTACACAGCGAGGGAATTCCCTTGCACTCGGGTACCTTAATGAACTTTGGATAAACATTGAGGTGATACATTGTGGTTAACATAAACAAACAACTCAAAATTATCCGTGAACGTTAATAAAGTGTTTATTTAATAAAAAAGTGTTTGTCATAATACATTATTTGACTGGTTACTGTGGTTACCACGTGCAGTCAGCGAACAGTCGTCTGCAACTTGTCTTGTTTACATTCCAACAAGATGGCCGATTCCAAGTATGGAAGTTTTGATCTGGGGAATTTTGAGTCGATTTTCGAAGATCAATCTACCGGAAACGTTGCAACTCTTAGCACGGATAACATTGATTTTCCGGATGATTTAGACCTGGAAGAAATTGAAAGTTTGTTAAAGATAACAGCATCAACCAGATCTACAAAAACATCGGCAAATCACGAGATGACGTGTGCAATGCAAGTCGATGATAAGCCATCCCAAACACATCGTTTCAAACGTTTATCAAATAATGATTTACTTCGAATGGAGGACTACAGACAATCAACATCCACAAAAAGAAACACAAAATGGGGTGTTAAACTATTCCAAGGTAGATATACACAATTCATATAAATATTATTTTCAAATTCCATCCTACGTATATTTTCTCAAAACGAAACACAGTTCATCAGCACAAAGTTGTATTTTTGACAATCGACGAAAATGTAGAAACACAAAAGAAAATAATTTTAATCTAATTGAAAAGATTCGCAGCAAAAAGGACTTACTCACTAATTTTGATGCATATTACTTACAACACATCAAACAACGACAGGAGGATGGAGAGTCATGACGACAGACTTCCAGGTAAGTTAAAATGTATGTATGTCAAACCGACCTAAAACATTACTCCTCTTATGACACGTTTTGTGCCGCCTCTAACCAATGACCTATTAAATGGCCAGGCGGATAAATACACATAGAAGGAATAAAATGCATGAATAATACGTATTTGTTTCGAACAAGAAATACAAGGACTCGTCTTACCTGACTAATATATGTCGCCTCTGACAAGGAACATATTTCCATCCGTGGAAACTGGTATCTTGCAGGAAGGCACGACATAAGTCCTGCCATTGCGAAAATAGTTCTTCTCGCAATGTTCTACCATCCTTCAGAGTGGCAACCGGCTCGACCTTCATGCTGCCATTCTACAGAACTCCGGTGTGAAGGATTATCATCAACCATTAAACATAATATTCTCTGAATGTTTTTAAGTGTATAATACACATACAGAATTGAAAGAGAGATGTCTGTGGAGTTACTCGGTGCCTTTACAAACTTACGCTTGTGCAATTGACGGAATATGCAGTGAGTGGAACTTTGTTGAAAGCAGTAAAAATAGTGTCTATGTGTGACAGTATTAGTCATAGATATATGCTACAACATGTTGCAGGAGGCAGGGGTTGCCCAGACGGCGGACGGGCTGCATTTCACTGTACAGAGTTGCGTCCCTTGAAATCGTGAGTTCGAATCCCGCTTTGCGACAGAAACCTCCTGTTTAGATGTTATTCAGCAACATACCCGTGGTGGTGGACTTTACCAACGTGATGAACGTCTAATGCCTCCATCACTTCAGCCGTTGTTCCTATACCAAGCTGACACATGGATGTATTACAGAGGCACAATGTTCAAAGCAGTGTTAAACCCAACCCATTCCCTCACTACAATATGTAAATAGATTTCAGAAATACAGTTCGCTGTACCACCATGTATAGTGTAATAAAGCACACTTTCGCCCTGAACTATTATAGTTAAAGCACGAGGACAATATGAACGTCACACGTCTACTACCAACGTAAGTTTAGATCAGTACATCCAGATGAAGCTGAGCAGTCAAGCGACATTCCATGATTGCATTGTGACAATGTAAACATTGCGAACGTAACCGTGTCGCCGAAAACTTGTGAGTCGAATTGAGACATTTTAACCGTCGGAAAACATAAACGTAATGTTTCCACCTGTGATGTTAGCTGCGTGAAGCAATTGCAAACCAAGAAACGGGATGCAACGAAGTAGTTTACGGTTGGAGGCTGTACGAGTCGATGACAACTGACAGGCATCGTGACGTTGCTTACATTGTGACGTAAGCAAAATTGTTCGATTACGAGGGGGCAGACTACAATGGCGCAGCGACGCTAAGACATTGTGACGTAATGCAAAAGTGCACATTATCGTCTGATAAAGTACTGTCGGCGCCTTTGATCTTTCACCGAATCATCTTAAAAGGAGCAACACGTACAGAATACAATAAAAATATACTTGATAGGAAATACATCCAATTTATATGAAGATACATATCACATTGTACACATTGTATATGAAATAAACATAATCGAGATATACAGGTAGTCGAGGAATGTGTTGCCGACGGATGGGGATTTTATCACATGAGCGGGCTACGATGTTTAGTTCTACTTCTCACTTATGCTTGAAACTACGAACAATCCAAATATTTCATGTTAGTGATGTGCTAAATACTTATTTCTGTCAACAAAACCAAACAATATTTCTAAAGACTGTTTGGAAGCCATATTTCACAATGTTTAGATAATAAACGCAATGAAACATTAAACTTGACTTCCTGAAGAAATAAAACCCCACAAAACAATGCCTCGTTTGTTTGTTTTAAGAAAACACATATCTATTCGATGATGTTGGGACATCCACAATTCAACTGAGCAGGGATCAGCTTCCTCGAGACTGGAGCAATCTGGAACAAGGCAAGTAGCAAATAATGTTGCATCTAAATGTATGACAATGTGTGCAAAATGCTAACAATTTCTTTGAGGGGCATCTTACAAGATGGGAAGTACAATTTTGACAAAATATATGGATAACAACGTATTTTATTTTGTTAGTACCACGTTTCGATGCATATTTTTGCTCTGTTGTCGATCTGTACCGAAACATCCCACCCTCGAATTGATTGTCACACTTTGAAGGAAACCGAACTGTCCTGATTGTTACGGCCTAAATGATATATATGTATTTTTATTCTAAGTATGTTTGTTTCCATAGGTGTGGCAGAGAATTGTTATAGTTTATGGTCAAAGCGTTCTAATCGGGTTATACTCAGTGATTTCAAAGGGGACTACTGCTGGAAGTGATATGTTTAAGTTGAGAAGTATGTCACCTGCTTGCCATGAGCTCTTCTCTCTGTAATCAGATGGTCTACCAGCGGCATGAATTACTTTGACATTTTTGCTAGGAAGCAGTTTGTGTTTGGGGCAACCAATGTATTAGCAGCATGTTTGCAATATTCAGTAATGTTATTTGTCCGTATTCCAAATGATTTCGAAACTGTAGTCACGAGTGTGCACGAGTCCTCAGTGTAGAATTGTACATGTTGGATTGTTAAGGCTTAACAGTGTAATGGTTATTATATTGAACTATTGACCATGCAAGTGAACAGTAACTTTTGTCATCTGTACAGGTAGACTATATACTTTGTCAAAAACATGACTTACTGATGAAGTGGGAAACCTTAATATTGTGAGAGCATTATACATTATTCAAGATTCCCTTATTTCTTTGAGTCTACAGCGAGAAAACTTGTATCGAATTGACTTTGGAAGAACTATAAAAATTGATGTTTTACCCAAACATTAGTATTGACGAAAGGAAACCTCGGAGTCAGACAGATGATAGTCTGACAAGTATTGACGGGAGAGCAGAGGCTTGGATTATAAAAAAATGACAGGGAAAGGTATTCAGTTCGTGGCACTTGTACGAAGTTAATCTTGCAGAAGAACAAAATTGATTCTCTGATGCGGATGGAGGATGATTACACTTATGTTCAAGCTGCATACAGAGAAGTCTCCTGAAGACTTTGTCAGAAACGTATCCTTTATGATGAAGTTGAAAACTTTTATTGTTGTGATAATGCAGGGGGCGTTCAAAAAATTAGTCAGCCTCATCTAGAAAATGATACAAATGCAGGTGTTTTATGTTATATTTTTCTACATACTTGTATTATCTGTCAACCTCAAGCCAAATTGCTTTTTGTTATGTTCCAGACTCACGATCCCAATTTTGTTTGACTTTTGTCTTGGTACCCCACAAAAACGCAAAATCTGCAATATATGCATCACAAACTTCAGCAAACAAAATGTGCAAAAAACATTTTGTGTGTTTGACTTAGACAGAAGTCCGCTAGAATCATACTTAGGTATCAAAGTGGATAAAAAAGCAATTTGAAACTACAGTGGCTTGTTAAAGTGACTCTCCCCTTCATATTTACTGAAAGATCTTATTCTGGAGACACTACCCATCCCCTTTCAGATGACGTAATCATAAGGACAAAACTTATTCTTATGTTTTCATTTATTCCTACATGATGCCAAGGGTTCAAACTAAATACTGAATGATCACACAAGTGTCAGCTCTCAATATATTGTTAACAATGTGAGCTTGAATATCTGGGCACAATGGTTTTGAAAGAATAGAATGAGGGTGTCCTTAAAAAACAGCCCACGTCTGAATATAATTCAAGCAAATCCAAATCTTTGAATGTTTATTATGACGGGGAGTCATCCAATACTATTCTAAACATATGTTATAAGATATTATCTGAGGACCGTATACTATTATCCAAGCGGTACCAAATGGCAGATAGTTTCTCATTTTCTGTAATTTGTAAAGAAATATTATATCCCAATCTGTTATGATGACTAATATCTCGTTAACCACATTACCCACGTATGTGAAATTTTCGATAAGGCTTTGCTAATAATTACTTCAAAATATTAGACATCGAGAATACAGTTAGGCTGACTACTTTTTGAACGCCCCTCGTATGCATATATAATGGTATTACCTCAACATTCCCTTATTTCTCTATGTATGCAGTCAGTCTATGGCGAGGAAACATGTACCAAGTTAATGTTCGACCTTACACTGATGATGAGGGTTCAAAAGTCGGACAAATATGTCAAGTGAAAAGTTTTGTTCACAAAAATCAGGAAAACTTCAAGGAAAAACGAATTTGATCATGTGATAAATAAGTTGTTTACAAATAGGATTATCAAAGGTGAACTGGATTACCGAGGTCCATTTTGTTCCTCAACCATGACGTTTACGTCTGGCCCAAAGGATCGTCAGGCTTGTCAGCAAACATGCGGCCACTAGTTCCAAGAGTTCGACGATGGTGAGTATACTGGCCCCAAGAAACAGCCCCATCTGGCCACCAATATTACTGCACAAGTAGACAATATCATGTCAGCTTGACATTAAGCATGCGCTGTTAGTATTTCTGTGTCAACAAGGTGTCAATGGCAGTTCTATCTTTTCCAAAGATAATAAATTTTATCCTTTTGGAGAAGAAACAACACATTTGTAAGTCTTTCCAGTAAACTATTCTGTATAAATTGTATTTAGTGTACTGTGAGAGCAATGTTGAACATGCTCATTTGCCTAAAACGTTAAAAGCAATAATTCGGTGCTATCGAACCAAGGATCACAAACCAGTCGGATCACGGACTACATTGTTCTTCACAGGGCTAGCTACTGCGACCCAACTAACTTGAAAACATTGCCCTAAGAAAGGCATTGAAATACAACAAATTAATAAACATTGATACCGACCAAATATTTCTCACCCCAACTCCAGTTCTGGTACGTGCTCGGTCCTTTCAACTACCATGCTGGCAAGTCTGATTTGTAGAACCAGGTAATTTTGTCTGGATGATATAAGGAAAACATGAGTAAAGAGTTGCTCCACAGAACCTGCTGAGATTATAAATACGGTGACAAAACCTATAGGTGTATGCTTTGTTGTAATTGTTGAGACATGTTTCCATTGTTATTTCTTAACTATCAAGTTCCTATGCATCTTGTTGAGTAAATTCAAAGATATATCAAATCAGTGTAGATCCGAGAAACGATGGATGGTTTGCTGCAGTACCATGGATGATACTTGTATGAACGATCTTTGTTAGTTCTTTGATGTAATGATTGTAATCGTATCGGGCATATTGTTTGCACGATCACTTATCTATGCAATTTGTAATTTGAAAGATGGAATACTAATTTATCAAAGATATGCTTCACCACAGATCAATTCTCACCTTATCTTGTCAGGGGTATATGCCGCATTCAGTAAAGTAAACGGGAAGGTGACCTTTGATGGCAGTACCATGGATGATACCTGTATGTCATACGATGTCTCTTCACATGGGTACTGACATGCACAACTCTTCCCATCCTGGCTTCCCACTGTACTTGATCTAAACACAAATAAAGAGTTTTTGCATTAAGCAAATCCATATGGCCCCTAAGTGATATGGTGTTGTTAGTAAGTTGTATTTCACCATTATTGTGTAAGTTTATATTGACTTTACTCGTCACTATGTGTCATGTGGAAGATGTTCGTACATTATATGTATACATTATACATTACACATAAATCATGACACCAGTTCCTGTTAAAAAATTGTGTACAATATACAAGGATTCTCTGCCTGTTCCATTCCTTCTTTTGTACCAAAACGGTTTTAAGAGGGAGAACTCGTTTCCAATGTCAGAGTGTGTTTGCTTGAAACAAGGAGCCTTTGCATGTTTGTTTATGGCAGCCATCGGCAGTTGAGGATGCGCTTAACCCTGTTGCGACTTCATTGTAGCGTCAGTATGTTATAGTGATGTTTAGACACACGCTTATGATATGGTCGTGCTTTTGCGGCTTTTACTATGGACAATCAACAAAAATAATGCATCTGTACCACGAAAATGTCAGTGCTGTATATATAGGATCTACGTGTTTGCAATTTCGGTGAAATGGAAATGATCTTACCGTAACATGTTTTCACATCCTTCACAGAGCAGTGTCGTAAACTGACTCTTGCTGAAAAATATATCACCAGTCAATGTAATACAAAGCACCTATGCAACTAGAAGTTCGAATTTAATAATTCAAATGTGTTTAAATGCCACAGGTTCAAGAACTATCTTAAAATGAAGTGAATCTTTTCTGCATAGTAAAATGTTATTTGTGTATTGTTAAGGTTAAATGGGGAAAAGAAAAAGAACCTAAACCCACAACTTAGAAGAGATTCCAACCAATAGTTTCAAAAAATGCCCTAAGTAAAAACGACCATATTCGTATTCTGTGATATCATTTTGATACTTACATCAAAATGGCAAAGAACTGTGTTGTTGCTTTCATTGGGATGTGAAGTGTTCATTTCTTTTGAAAATGGGAAAGGTACCTTGCTGGGGTTCCCATCCGGCGGTGCAGTTACAGGCATCCATGGCAGCCTTATTGAGCACTCCAGAAGACACCCGTCAAAGCTGTACACCTTGAACCACTCCAGAGGGTTGACAAAGTCCGAGGCTGTAGTGTCCATACAATCCGTCCCGCGGGTATTATAGGGTCTGGAAGGTAATTTCATCTGAGGGCATGTATCAACAGACGCATCTTAACATCATCGTAAGGACATGTTATTTGTTGGCAAAGTTGATTCAAGATGCATGAGATTGTATGCTCTAATCCGACAGGCGTGTCCAAGATATTGATGGCCCCGCAATTCACTGTGCATGGTTGTGTCTCTTCCGAGTGCCAGAAAACATCCAACACTGGTTCGAATCCTAGTTCACCATCATTGTGCTTCCAGCTTTTTTTCAGCCCCACTACTTTTTTTCCACCATTTTGCTGTGAATGTACCAGATTCTCGTTATTTAAACGGGTGAAATTAACTGATTTTGATGTTATGTTGTGTGTACTTATAAACCTACTCTGCATTTTAACTCAGGACTCAAATTGATTTTTAGACATAATTCTCTTGACACAAACTCACCTTTTTCTTTGTCAGCCCAATGTGTGTCGACGTCCCGACCGATACACCAATCAGTGAATGATCACTGTAGCTTGGTGCTGTTTCAGGTTCATCGATATATACCTGATTCAACAAAAGAAGATGACATTGTAGGACCGAATTGGAAGTTTAAGAGTGAGTGAGTGAGTTCAGTGTTACGCCACTTTTAACAATATTCCAGCTATATCACGGCATGGAAGTTTAGAGTGCTCCTTCATACCAAATATACATGCCATTATATTTGGTATGAAAACATGATGGCTTCTTTTTTTTAGCCCGACTTTTAAATTTTTAGCAAACTAAACAAAGTTAAAAATAACTGAGCTTAAATATTCTTTGCCCGGTTATTATACTCTGCTTCTTGATTTTTAGCAGTGTTTCAGCTATATGACGGCAGTCTGTAAATATTTTGAGAATAGTCGAGGACAAACCAGTGACTGAAATGATAAGAAAGGATCCACATCGTCAGAGTGTGTTGTACAAAAAATCAATCAAGTCATGCAGTTTGGCAATCTGAATCTGAAAGATAGAATTGTCTGACGTTAAGTCATCTGAATTAATGGCAAAATGTTGGTCTGGAAATGTCAGTGATTGTTATACTACATTCGTCTTAGACTATGAACACATTTAATATAGATTCGTTTGCTATTAGCCTCCAAGGCACATGTGTGTGCCTGTCAGAATTATCTTTACCTATTATGATATTTACCTGTACCCTGCCTCGTATGTAGCTCCCTCTCCAGATAGGTATCTTGCATGATGTCAATAGACATTAACAGTGCTGTTTGTTCAGACTCAAGAGCATTGACATCAGTGTTAGCGTTGAAGGTGAAGCAGCGATGATCTTGCTTCTGGCTGTAGTTCAAGCTTTCCTGGAGGATTCGGTTGTTTTTGAAGAATATGACTTTAAAAATATCTTCTTTTTTGTATGCCCCACCAGCCCAGAATTTGACATTATCCAGTTTATCGAGCTCTCTCCCTTCCTCTCCGTCCCAGTCAACTTGCGGTAAAATGTGTGCAAGGTACCCAGAGCTGCGAAGATAGGCTAGCTCTGCGTTAGTTAGGTTCTGTTCGCTTATGTCAAACTTGTTCAGGGTGCATATAGTGATAGCAGGAAACCCTGATCTGTTGTTTGCGTTCTCTTGTAATCTTGGTGATGAAGCTGTAGCTGTAGTACTTCTTGTAAAGATCAGCCAGCGCACTCAGACTCACCCTAATCATTGTTAAAAGCAGCAATGCCCATAATATTCTGAAACAGTAATATACACTGGTTTACTGCTTTTAGAGACAACGTTTGTAGAATTATTTATTCTCATTTGTTCTCGGTCACTTTTGGTTTTGATTTTGACTAGACACCGTGACCAGCTGAGCAATCATTTTACTGACTGGGTTGCACGTAAAAATAGTGTAAAGAGGCAATCACACGTGTGTGTTTCAGATCATAAGAAGCGAGACCTTCGGAGTTTAGAACAAATACTGTGTTCTATACTATATATTTCAGGCTGTATCCTCTTTATCATATAAATTCTAAAACTCTACAGTTCTTTCCTATTCCTTTGGAGTAGTTGATTGGACAGAACAAGACATCGAGAGTCTTGACCGCCTGACCAGAAGGATCATGTGTGATAACAGAGCCCACCACCCTCGCTCCTCTCTCAATCGTTTATATATGCCAATCAATTCGTGAGGTCGGGGTTTGATTAATGTGGACGCTCTTCATGACAAAATTTCATTGTGTACTTTTGCACATATTTATTTCTCGGATGATCCTCTGGTGATGCATGTCAAGACTCATGATGAAAGCAAGAAGAGAATCTGATATTTTAGGTTGATTTTGTAGATGGTGGTGTGCTGATGGACGGTGCAGCAATGGGAGTAAACCAGGTGAAATCCTTTACCAAGTCTACTCAAAGTCGGTCATTTGAGGAGAAGCTTTCTGAGAAACCATTGCATTGTGTGTACATGCAGTGTGAAAAACAGAACAGTAATCCAACCGACTTCTTCACTTGGGTTCTGTTCGCTTATGTCAAACTTGTTCAGGGGGTGCATATAGTGAGGAAAGGAAAAGAAATGATAGAAGACAGACTGAAAAGAAATTAATATGGAGCACTTTTAAAGAGACGTATGCAGGATTTATTAATTATCTGTATTATATGCAGTTGGGTGTAAAGACACAAGAAATACTGAAGCCAGTACAAGACACGAATAATATATATCATGGAGTGTTTTTCTGTACAAACTGTACAAATATAAATCTTCGGTGGAAGATTTGGTTTGAGATGATATGAAGACATGATATCTGATACAGAGGTGAAGTATTTGGACAGTAGGAGGAAAAGGAACAATAAGATGTTGTAATTCACAAAAGATGTAAAAGTAGACTTTGGGGAGTGCTCCTTTCCTAATATCTACTGATTGAAACAGAGCTGATAACTATTATATGAAATCTGTATATCTTTCTTGTTTTGATTATGGTACAGAAATACATCATGACTGATATTAAACCAGATAACATAAACATGACCTGTTACTTAAAAGAGATACCCAATATAAAACAATTGATAATGAAGATTAGCTTGACGCTATTAGTGCCTGACGATGATGTGAGACTCAACCCAAAATGTACTGCGAATTTGGTTTTACTAAGAAAAATGTGTCATCCCAAATATAGCATATGTTACAACTGACCACTTTCTAAATGGCATTGTGTAATCAAAGATATTAATACATGATAGTGTTTAATTATTACCACTGAATTTATGTGTTTCATCAGAAACCATACAATTCATAGTCCTGCATTTGTCAGAAAATGTTACCGGTAACAACAGGGTTCGTGTTATGCGCCCCTACACTCTGTTGGAACAATAAATGGCTAATCAGAATTCGTGCGTGTATACCAAATTCACTAAAACCACGAGGGAGTCAGTATGTAGCGTCTTTATCGATTTAAGTGCTTGGCAACTTGACAATAGCTATTGAAATAGCCTAAAGTCACTGAATTAATAATGGAGTGTTTTATCAACAGGTGAGGCGAGGCGGCAGGCACTGCTGGACACGTCCTTATGACTAGAAATCTTTCTTTTAGTGAAGTAGCTCACAAAAGAGCGATACCTTATTCATTCAAGTACTAGTAAAGACAATTTCACTAAGCTGTAAAGTCATTCAAGATGTTCAGCACGCGCCTCGTGAGGGGCCCCTGACAGGTGTGAGTGCTCAAACACAATATCAATTCAATTGTCAATAGAAATTCACCGAATCGTGAAGTAGCTAGATTGGGCGAAGGGCAAGCAGTATCTTTTAAAGAAAGAATCAACGTATTTGTGGTAGAATGTCTACAAATTTGTGTTGTCGCGCTAATTTATACACAACACATAAAGGTATGTTGTACACAATAATCACTGCATAATACACATTCTATTGTGCTTTGTTGTTTCTCCAAATACTGTAGAAAGAAAGATTTTACTAGAACTGATGTGATGTGATGTCACACAAGGAGATGTGAATTTGGCAATGTCGAATGGTGTTTTGATGGTAATCAGGTTGAAGCATGATTTTTATAGACTTATGCAAAACTGGATTAAACCGGATAATCAGTATATATCATATGATGGCATATAGTCATGTTCTATATCTCCCGCCTAAATAGGTTACATCTGCGAAATGAGGTCAATTTGGATCAGACAGTTAAAGGATCCACACACCTGCGTGATGAGGTGTAATTTGAACCCAAAGTAACCGGAATACTACTCGAGGAGGTCATAACAACAGACTTCCAGGTCAGTTAAAATGTATGTATGTCAAACAAACCCCAGAAATGACTAGTCTCAGGTAAAGTTTTGCGCAGCCTCTATCTATCAAGGACCTATTAAGTGACCAGATTGACAAATACACATTGAAAAGAATAAAATGCGTTGTTCATGACAGTTCACTCCAAACGCATTTCGTTCAGTTTGTGTTTATGGAATTAAAAATCATACAACAAAATGCAGGTAAAATGGAGTTAAATTTCCGTAGACACTAAGTGCAGGAGATTTGCCTGCAAAGTGAACCACACACGCTCCCCAGATATCAGGTGTTAGAATTTTAGTCGGTTTTTAAACATCGCTGACAGTGAGACATTAGAAATTTAGAGTTGGGTTAGAGTATCAGTCAGTCAGTCCATAGAGATTAATAATTTTAGCTTAGATATTCAGTGTGGTTTTAGACCAGTGAAGAAAGTTGGAGTTAGATATTCCAGGGTTACATTAGTTTAGAATTAGTCGGGTTTTGACTATTAATGAGTTAGGAATTTTAGATAATGGGACTGGCTGAGTAAAATTGGCTAAATTCTTAGAAATTCATCAACGCAAAAGTTTACATATTTAGTTTTGTTCTTCACACGTTCGTTTTATAATCCATAAATTATTGTCATCATATTTAGTTCTTCGTTTCCTCTTTAGAAAGCATTGT